ACACAAATGGCTTTTTATACAGTTCTGAATAATGTTAACACATAACACTGGTTGAGACCATGAATGGAAATAAACAGTTATTTAAATTGACAGGTCTTTTCAATACAAAAATAAAATCGGATTTTTTTCAAAGTAGATGATGTTTGCTTTGTTTCCTTTGGGAAATCACAATTCTGTCAGTTTTTCTCTAACTTAACTTCCATCACACAACTATCATGAGCTGCTTAGGCTGAGGAAATCTGACATGACAAAATAACACATTCCCTATTGATTGCTGCTGGAGAGTGAGAAAAGCACCCCTATTCCATTCTCTAGCCAAGACTTCACTCCGTCCATCCTAGTTTCCTTAAAAAAATAAAATCCTTATCTTTGGACAGGAGTCTTTCCTAGTTCAAGCTCTGTGCTTGGTACTGCAAAATGGGAAGAGCCCTCAGCTTGTATTGACTTCAGCATCCCTGGCTAAGCTCAGAAGCCAGGTGATGATGCTCTGTTTAGGAAAAATCTCCTTGGCCATACAACTGATGTGCTACTTCACCTGCATCCTTCATTTTAACAGGCACAAGAATTGTATGAGGGTTATCGTGTAGCATTTAGAAAGATACTCTGGTTTGAAGCAGCTCCTGCACCTGAAATTTTGAAATTCTTAACTTGCTGTGTGGATTAGTGGCTGGCCCACTAATCATAATGCATTTATCTGGCTTTTGAAACAAGTTCAACCGGCTTCTTCACCCCAGCTCATTGTACATGCTGTTCTGTGTGTATGTTCCCCAGGCATCATGTCCCCAGTAGGATAATGGCTTTGGTTTTCTTAGAATGAACTGGTATGCGCAGTTTGGCTCTGAGTGCACACGTCGTCTCAGTGGCGAGGGTCAAGCACATGCCATCTTAGATACAGGTACAGGTAGACAGGATTTTAATAGCAAAAAAAAAGAGCCCCCAAACCCCAAATCTTTATTCCATCACTATGCATTGTTGGAAGGAAAGAAAAAAAAAATCAGGCTTTACCTCTGCTCAGCAATAATTCATGTTCCCCACTCCTTCCCTTTAGCTTGCTTTGCCTGACACGGCTTTTGTGCGGAAAGGACTAAATACAGCTCAGTCGACATTTGCTAGTCAACTTGTTCAACAGTGAATTCTTCCCTGCAGGCACTTTATCTATTTTCCACAATCAAGCTTCATTACCTGTTTCAATACTGTGAAAAATCAAGAGGGGTTTTTGTTGTTGTTGTGTTTTAGTTTTGGTTTTGGGTGTTTTGTTGTTTGTTTGGCGTTTTTAAAAATCCAAATATATTTCTTCCTGTGCTGTAGCAACAAGAAGTGTTAGAAAAAATTGTTAGGGATCTTTTCAGTGAGTATTAAATTCTAAACTGAAATTTTGCTTTATTTGAGCCCTGCCATGTGATACTTGTTCTTCTCTGATGGCTTGATTTTTTGTCCTGGTGCTGTAAGTCACTGTCACTCTGCCATTATAGGCCTCAAGAAAAAAAATAATTTTCCATTCAGAGTACACTGCTAATTTTGCCTCTTACCTTCACTGCATTACAACATTAAGATCAGCTTTAAGTAACGTCCTCCAGGTAAATAGCTTACCTTTCTGTAACCTCTTGGTGCAGCCTATTGTCACAGATAATTGCATAAAACAAGATTGCAGTGCACATCTGCTTATTACCCAGACAACTGGAGAAGGGCTTCTTGCCTTCCTTGTGCTTCATGCTGAGTTCTGCTCTGGTGCTGCTGAAACAAGAAGTTTGGGGAGGAGAGTTAGTGTGGGGCTTTGCTTCTCTCTCTCTTTTTTTTTTTTTTTTTCCCTTCCTTTTGAAAGCAACTCCTTAACATTAAAGATTACGGAAACAGTTTCTGTTCTGGGTGATGAGTAAAGCATATTAAGAGTCTTAGCAGAGACTTGGGATGATGCTAAGGGGCATCTTCCAGCCGTAGAACTTGTGTTCCTTCCCATACCTTTAAAAAAAAAATAAAAAAATCTGTTCCCCAAAGCCCAGGAATGGTAATTAAATTGTAGCTGCAGGAATAATGACAGATATGGGCTCCTTGCCTACACCTTTTCATCACCGCACCCATCTCCCATCTGTTTTTTGTTTGCCCTAAAGCTTAAGTGGTTTCAAGATTCCTCCTCTTGCACGCATGTTCTCACCATGTGCCCACTTTAAATCTCTCCATGTATTTTAACGAATTAATTAATTGCTAGCTGCTGACCTCATCACAAGTACATCCTGTAAGTCCTGACTTGCATCAGGCGCTTTTCTTAGCACAGCAGCCCTTCTGGGGGTGACTCCAATTCTAAACCTTTGTGTTGTCCAATAACTTTCTGTTCTAAATCACTCTGTGTAACCCTGATGTTGGCTTTCCGTGCCAAAGCAGGAAAGGCAAGGGTGGCATTAAGGACATGAAAGGTAGTATTTCGGGAAGCGTCCAACCACATAATCTCCTTGGAATGTTTTAGGGTTTTCCCATTGCAGTGGGCATCAACACTACTTCAAACTACTGTGGGGCAAGTCCAGTAAGAGCAGCTGGGATTTATATTAGCACCTGTAATGCTGGTAGATTGTCATGTTTAAGAAATTCTTGTGAAAGGGGTGCTAGTGCTTCCCATAGCATTACTGGGTAATAACCTGGAACATGAGCCTTTGAAACGTGGTCAGTGCTGGAATTCACATAGTACCACGTGAGAACAAAACACTGTAATGATAATTGCTCATTATCTAATTACACAAGAACTTACAGCCCTGGAGGGTGAACAACTAATTAATTGGTTATCTGCTTTTAAAACAGCAACAAATAAATGAGGAATATTCATTCTTTTGGCTCTTGTTCCGGTACTGTCAGCGAAGTCACTGCTCCTCAGAAGGTGAATGAGGCAGTCCAGGCTGGACAGAGCTCTCCACATCCTGATGCTCTGAATGCCGTATGGGGTTATGAGGCAGGGAACTTGCTTTTAGGAGAGTAGACTGCTTACTCAAAAGCAGCTGAACTTTTGAGCTGCAACACAAAATTAAGGAGGATTCACTGACCCAGGTTATCCAGGAAGGCAGCTGCAGCTGGCCTTCAGAGCAGCATGGGTCACCTTTCACATTCAAGAATTTGCTTGTGCAGGATTTTAAAGAGAATATAGCTACTTGGAGCACTTTGCCTATTGATGTGGATGCAATGAGGTGGAGACAGGCCTTGGTTTTACCCCATGTTGGAGCATGTTGTTCCCACCTAGGAAAAGAGCTGCCTGTCAAAAAAAAAAAGCAGCGGCATGTCTCTGTACAATGCTGCACCAGCAGCAGTAGGTCTCTGTAAAACTCTTATCCTGAGTGCTGAATACACACACAATTATCACCTTAGGCTCTAATTTAACTTTCCAAAAAGTACCAGACAGCTTCTACCTCATCTTGAGGCAAATGCCTTCCTTCAGAGCCCTTGTTCCGGCCTCTCAACATTTGTACGCTGTTGTCCCACTTGCAAAAATACCAAGCACCTCACTGCTTAAACCAGGGCCCCACAAATACAAGGGACACGTCAGCCTTTTCAGAGCAGAGCAAACACCCCTGACCTGCTGTTCTTCACTGCTGGGGGAT